AGATTATTCATAGTTCCAGTATTATTTAGAAAATAACTGTAGGAACTGGATTTGATATTAGATTATTCATAGTTCCAGTATTATTTAGAAAATAACTGTAGGAACTGGATTTGATATTACATTATTTATAGTTCTAGTGCATCCCGTAGAAATTAATGGAGTTTAAACTTCTAACGAATTTTGTGTATTATAATGCAGTTAAGGAAATAACACGTATAAATCATGTAATTTCTCATTTGGATTATCCTACTTTCTTCCTAGCTGTTTAAATATTCGAAAGAGGTTTTCGTTATGTACCTGTAATACACATGCGACATTTGATAGAACAAACGCTTCATCTGCTAACGTTAAGTAACATACTTAAATTTCCATGTAATAGTCATCAAATTCTTTTATGTAAGACAAGAAGATTACAGGGTATATATTTCATGCCTGGAAAGACCAATAAAGAAACCAGACTGTCTCGAAAGTATAGATGTAAAACAATAAAGAAACGATAAGAGCTATCATTAATCCTTCGCCTAATCATGACGGCAGTCTTAAAGATAAATGTAATGGAAGTGTAGTTCTTCTGTATTCCTTCCTGTACAAGTCGTTTAAATTCACAGCTTTCCTAGGTATGATTGTATATTTCATACTACTCTGAAACATTGATTAATGCTGTTATCTTATAAAGTATTGAAAATAATTTTACTTCTTCCTGCTCAAGATATTAATTAGGTTTAATTATTCTACGAAAAAAGAACTCCAATGTTAATGATTTATAAAATGTGATATGAAAACCTTTTAGAAAGTAATTTTAGAATATGTAAACTATTTCGCGGTCTTTCCTAAGAGCATAGAATGCTAAACACGAAATTACTCGGAAATCACTGTGGGCAGCTGCTAATATTACTGGAAACTAGCAGCTATAAGGTACATGGCTGTTTATTAATATAACTGGAAACTTGCGGCTATAAGATACATGGCTGTTTATTAATATAACTGGAAACTTGCAGCTATAAGATACATGGCTGTTTATTAATATAACTGGAAACTCACAGCTATAAGATACATGGTTATTTATTAATATAACTGGAAACTCGCAGCTATAAGATACATGGTTATTTATTAATACAACTGGAAACTCGCAGCTATAAGATACATGGTTATTTATTAAAATAACTGAAAATTCGCAGCTATAAGATACATGGTTATTTACTAATATAACTGAAAACTCGCAGCTATAAGATACATGGTTATTTATCAATATAACTGGAAACTTGCGGCTATAAGATACATGGCTGTTTATTAATATAACTGGAAACTTGCGGCTATAAGATACATGGCTGTTTATTAATATAACTGGAAACT